ATCTCTACTACTCTCTCTATAAAATAAAAATAAAATAAAATAAAATTGTTGAGAGCGCAAAACTACCTCTCAAGCAAAATTATCAATCTTTCTCTCTCTTAAGAGAGCCGTTAATGAGAGCACGGATTTTGTTATGCAAATAAAGGAACTCTCTCTCTATCTTTATCTTTCCAAAAGTATTAAATGAAACTCCCTCTATACATTTTAAAATAGTACGGCCTAATGACCTTCCTATTTGCCTTAAGGGAAAGAGATACTATTTGCTAATCCATATGGCGGTGCAAATTGTTACCCCATAAGGTGGTGCAAATTGTTATGAATTATTAGAGAGAGGGGTACGATTTGCTGAGCAAATTGTTATACACCAGCGGATACGCCCTCCTCTAAATTCAATGGAACTCGTCCAAATTCATATACAGCAGCCAATACGATTTGCAAAAATATTAACATCCAGAGCAGATTCCCATGAAGCTTAAACTGCATAAGAAGCAAACTCATGCTCAAATAAAGGAGGAAAAACTAGAAAGCAACTAAGAATCCCAGGGATCGGACCTTTTTAAAACTTGTACATTTTTCATAAATATATTTTCTCGACTAAGCATCCTGGCTGGATGTCGCTTCTGAAAACTTAGTGTGTTTGGTATTCATGAACAAGCCAATCATTCTCGAATGCCACATGTAAAAGTAAACTGCAAATTTATGTATTTAAAAACCTAAAAAGCATGTAAATCTTTTTTGGATCATTATTCATGATTACTGAAAAACTGGAATAAAATAGTAGATATAAACATACATTCCATGATCCAACAATCAAACCAAATGGCTTCTTGTTATGATCTCTGAAAGAGGTAAATTAGCCTTCACCTCTTTTCTTCTCCAAGCTTTATAGAAAACTTCTTTATGGAGAATGAGCAAGAGCTGAGATCATCATCTTATATCCTTTCTTTATTATGTTTCTTTCATTTTTCCTAACCCATCATAAGTACCATCATCGGTAGTTATTTTTGAGAGAGAGTAGGGGAGATGATTATCACTAATCTTTATCTTAATATTGGATAATCGACTCACTTAAATTGTAGACAATATCATACGTATATAATTATTGTTAGACCACAAATTAGAGATATTTTTTAATACATATTCCATAAAGCATCCCACTAGGTAAGAATCGTTCATCACCAAGTGACTTCGACTGCTATCATAGTCCTCGAGGCTCGATTAGGAAGTGTGTTTTCTAAAGGTCATAGTTTGATTTAATGCTCGATCTAATATTACCAAAAGTTTGTAGAGTAGGTTGGAGCAATTTTTAATGGATAGAAGAGACGTTATGGGTTAGTTCTATGAAAAATTAATATGCTTCTTTCTATGTAGATACTTAATGTCTCATAACAAGTTTCCTCTACAGAGTTCTGCAAGTGTTGATGAGTCCAAAT